ACACACACACACACACAGACACACACACACACACACACACATACACACACACACGTGGACTATTTTCATCCAGATATAGGCACAGAACAACTATAATTATAAAAAAATAACGTTAAAAGCTTATGAAGGATAGGCCTATGGGAACAGAAAATGCGTAAGTCTTTTGAAGCTATCACGTGTTTTTATTTGTCTTAGTTCCATAGGTAATCTGTTCCACATAAATGGACCAAGACATGAGAAATATCTCTCTCCATATCATTTGTATGATTTTACAATTAGCGCTTTTATGTCTGGAGCTTTCAATCCACCTTTACCTAAAGGTCAGAAATTGTCGATACGAAGTAACCGTAAACTATCTCTATGGCTTTCTTGGGTACAAATCCTTTTATCTGAGCATGAACAACTAAAGAAAAATATTATAGTGTTTGTCTTTTTCTTCGCTTTTTCGAAAAGACATACATTAAGCGGGCGAAGAAAACCTAACATCAAAGAGGTTCCTCAGCTCTCAGAGACATTTGTGAGTTAGCGTGGTGGAATCAGGCTCTCGTCAAAATAATGTGAAGAAACTTGCGTTTTTCCTGAGGTTTGTGATTTTTTTTCAAAATTTTTTTTTTGGCTCAACACCGTTCACGCCTATTAAAGAATTTGTTTCTGTGTGGATTTTTCTTTTAGAAGTTGATTAAAGGCACAAAAAATGTAAATTATCCGTTACCACGGACTCTAAAGCTAAGGAAATAACTAATCTTTGGCGGCCATTTTCTCACTTATTTTACCTCTGAAAACAAGTGGCCACCACCTCCTTCTTTCGAATATATATCAACTTGTATTCAAGATAAATGGACATTTTTTCATCCAAATAAAGACAAGTAAACAAACTTTAAGATGAAACCAATAACTCTACATGCCCAAAAATTGACCAGAGCCTGATTCCACCACGCTGTCTCCCATTGTATTGATTAATATGGTGGTACATTAGATCCTCGTGACATCTAAATAAGACAGTGAACCTTCTGTCTGCTCAGTCTCCCAGGGCGCACCCCGTCGGTATACTCTTTACAACTTTAATTAAGTGTATCGTATGTCCATTGCTCCGCCCAGTCTGTCGGCTTGTTAAAGGGTGAGGGTGGAGGTGATGGTGAGGGTGAGGGT